TAGATATGGATATGCCTGCATCTCCAGTTTTCTCACTAGTCTCTGGTGTAGCACTGTGTCAAAGGTTTTTTGGCAATCCAAAAATATGCAGTCTGCCCACCCCTCTCTTTCTTGTCTGATTTTTTTTTGCCTGATCGTAGAATTCAATTAATGATGTGAGGCATGACTTTCCATCTCTGAAACCATGTTGGTGTTGTGACACAAAGTTCCTTCGTTCCAGATGTTCGACTAGCTATTTTCGCACAATTTTCTCCATTAGCTTGCATGGTATGCAAGTTAGGGATACTGGCCTGTAGTTCAGTGCCTCCTGTTTATCCCCCTTCTTGTATATCGGGACTACGTTTGCTGCCTTCCAAATTTCTGGCAGTTCACCTGTTACCAGTGATTTGTTATACACCATGGAGAGTGGCAGGCACAGTGCTTCTGCTCCTTCCTTTAGTATCCATGGCGATATTCCATCCAGGCCTATAGCCTTTGTCACATCCAACTCTAGCAAAAGCTTCCTTACATCTCCACTGGTAATCTCAAATTCCTCTAGTGGTGCCTGGTTAATTATTCCTTCTCTTATCTCTGGAACTTCTCCTTGCTCTAATGTGAAGACTTCCTGGATTGTCATATTGAGTTCCTCGCACACTTCTTTGTCGTTTGTAGTGAATCTGTCTGCCACTATCCTCAGTTTCATTACCAGTTCCTTCACTGTTGTCTTTCTCCTGATCAAGCTGTGCAGCAATTTGGGTTGGGTCTTAGCCTTGCTTGCTATGTCGTTTTCATATTGCCCTTCTGACTCTCTTCTCACCCTGACGTATTCATTCTTGGCTCTCTGGTAACCTTCTCTGCTCTCAAGTGTCCTGTTATTTCTATAGTTTCTCCATGCTCTGTTACTTTGTTGCTTAGCTAGCTTACATCTCTGGTTAAACCATGGGTTTCTCATCTGCATTTCAATTTTTACCTTTTGGTCAGGGATAAACTTTTCTGCTTCCTCCTTGCACTTCTGGGTGATGTATTTCATCATATCTTGGGCCGTCTTCCCCTTAGCTCTGTTTCCCATGTTATATCCGTTAGGAATTTTCTTATCTCCTCGCAACTTCCCTTACAGAATGCTAGCCTTTTGCTTTCAGTTCCTTTTCTCGAGTACTTTAGCCCTTCTTTGACCCGATATTCAAACGTCAGTTCACTGTGATCGCTCATTCGTACTGGGGCCACGAAGTCAATTTCCCTTATGTCGAAGTCATTCAAAGTGAAGACTTGGTCGAGTGTCTCTGGCTCATCGTTTCCCCTCATCCTACTGTGTTCCCTGACATGTTCGCTTAGAAAGTTTCTTGTTGCCACCTCTACTAGTTTTGCTCTTCATGTACCATCTCTGTGCGGTTCCTAGTTCTCCCAATCTATCCTTCTGTGATTGAAGTTCCCCATGATGAGCAGATGGGATCGATTTTTACAGACAGCAGAGGCTGCCCTCTCAATTATGTTATTAACTGCCATGTTGTTTCTGTCATTCTCTTGCCTGGGTCTTCTGTCATTTGGTGGAGGGTTATATATCACTGCTACTACTACTCTTGGTCCTCCCATCATCATGGTGCCTGTTATGTAGTCTCTAAACCCTTCACAGCCTGGGATAACCGTCTCCTTGAAACTCCATTCCTTTCTCATGAGTTGGGCCACTCCGCCTCCTCCCCTACCCTCCCTCTATTTTCTTAATACAGTGTAATCCTGGGGGAACACCGCATTTGTTATGATTCTTGAGTTTTGTTTCTGTGATTCCAATTACATCTGGGTTTACTTATTGTGCTTTTTCCCAAAGTTCACTCGCCCTGTTTGTAATCCCATCTTTGTTTGTGTACATCACTTGAAGCTGACTCTTTTCTGTCCATCCACAGATTTCACTGGAGTAGGTAAACATGGAGGGTCTGGGATGGGTAGGGGGAAGGGGGGCCATGGAATGGGGAGGGGGAGGGGGAAAGGAAGGCCCTGGGTTGTAAGGGGGAGCTGAGAGTGAGGGGGATCTGGGTTATGGGGGAGCTGGGAGGATCTGGTTTGGAGAGGGTAGGGGCAAAATGAGGGCTTGGAGAGGTGGGAGAGACGAGAGGGCTTGGGGAGATGGGGAGAAGAGGGGGGGTTTGGGGGGAAGATGGGAGGGGGAGGGAGGGAGGGCTTGGGGGTGAATGGAGGGCTTGGGGGGGGAGAAATCCTTGTGGTGTGTGTGTGTGTGTGTGTGTGTGTGTGTGTGTGTGTGTGTGTGTGTGTGTGTGTGTGTGTGTGTGTGTGTGTGTGTGTGTGTGTGTGTGTGTACTCACCTAGTTGTACTCACCTAGTTGTGTTTGCGGGGGTTGAGCTCTGGCTCTTTGGTCCCGCCTCTCAACCGTCAATCAACAGGTGTACAGATTCCTGAGCCTATTGGGCTCTATCATATCTACACATGAAACTGTGTATGGAGTCAGCCTCCACCACATCACTTCCTAATGCATTCCATTTGTCAACCACTCTGACACTAAAAAAGTTCTTTCTAATATCTCTGTGGCTCATTTGGGCACTCAGTTTCCACCTGTGTCCCCTTGTGCGTGTTCCCCTTGTGTTAAATAGCCTGTCTTTATCTACCCAACTATCTTTATCTACCTCTGTGTGTGCGTGTGTGTGTACTCACCTATATGTACTCACCTATATGTGCTTGCAGGATCGAGCATTGACTCTTGGATCCCGCCTTTCTAGCTATCGGTTGTTTACAGCAATGACTCCTGTCCCATTTCCCTATCATACCTAGTTTTAAAAGTATGAATAGTATTTGCTTCCACAACCTGTTCCCCAAGTGCATTCCATTTTTCTACTACTCTCACGCTAAAAGAAAACTTCCTAACATCTCTGTGACTCATCTGAGTTTCCAGTTTCCACCCATGTCCCCTCGTTCTGTTATTATTACGTGTGAACATTTCATCTATTTCCACTTTGTCAATTCCCCTGAGTATTTTATATGTCCCTATCATATCTCCTCTCTCCCTTCTTTTCTCTAGTGTCGTAAGGTTCAGTTCCTTCAGCCGCTCTTCATATCCATCCCTCGTAGCTCTGGGACAAGCCTCGTCGCAAACCTCTGAACCTTCTCCAGTTTCTTTATGTGTTTCTTCAGGTGGGGGCTCCATGATGGCGCGGCATACTCTAAGACGGGTCTCACGTAAGCAGTGTAAAGTGCCCTAAAAGCTTCCTCATTTAGGTTTCTGAATGAAGTTCTAATTTTCGCCAGTGTAGAGTACGCTGCTGTCGTTATCCTATTTATATGTGCCTCAGGAGTTAGATTAGGTGTCACATCCACTCCCAGGTCTCTTTCTCGAATCGTTACAGGTAGGCTGTTCCCCTTCATTGTGTACTGTCCCTTTGGTCTCCTGTCACCTGATCCCATTTCCATAACTTTACATTTACTGGTGTTAAACTCCAGTAGCCATTTCCCTGACCATCTCTGCAGCCTGTTTAAGTCCTCTTGGAGGATCCTACAATCCTCGTCTGTCACAACTCTTCACCTGATCCCATTTCCATAACTTTACATTTACTGGTGTTAAACTCCAGTAGCCATTTCCCTGACCATCTCTGCAGCCTGTTTAAGTCCTCTTGGAGGATCCTACAATCTTCGTCTGTCACAACTCTGTGTGTGTGTGTGTGTGTGTGTGTGTGTGTGTGTGTGTGTGTGTGTGTGTGTGTGTGTGTGTGTGTGTGTGTGTGTGTGTGTGTGTGTGTGTGTGTTCACCTAGGTGTATTCACCTAGGTATATTCACCTAGTTGTGCTTGCGGGAGTTGAGCTCCGGCTCTTTGGTCCCGCCTCTCAACTATCAATCAACTGGTTTTTTTCAGTAATATTCCTGCGCGGGCCCTAAGCCTCTGACTGGCCCACTAAGTGTTGCTTGTTTCTGTTATACTTGGGCGGAGTATGAGTATTTATGACTCGTATGGTCGCTTCAGTAAGATTTTCCCCTATGTGTTTAACAACTTCTTCTGCTCTGTTGAATCTAAGTTGAAATCTTAATGGGTTTGTAACTGTGCACTGTGCTAGATAATGTTCCAGTGGTCTGACGGGCATTTCTCCACAGTGTTGACATTTCCTATCATCTTCCGGAACCTGTAAACCTATTTCCCATGTACATGGGTATGCAAGCCTGATGCTATGTAAGTGAACTTCTATTGTTCTACTGCTCCCTTTCATCAAACTAAGTGGTTCGTAGTTGGTTGAATTCTTGTACCAACCTGCAGATCCTAATGTTGCAACTGCTGTGTTGTGGTCACTGTATATCTTTTGCATTGCATTGCTTAATTACTTTCTAAATCTGTGAGAGACTCTGTGTTTATGTAAATGTCTACATTTCTTCTCTTAGTTGCAATTTTTGCAGCTTCGTCTGCAATGTCATTTCCTATTATTCTCACATGACTTGGCACCCAGTTGATAAGTACTCGACGTCCTTGTCGTTTGAGTGTTTGCATTAAAGATATGACATTTTGATCAGATGGATGTTATCACATATGTGTTCTTGTTGCAAGGTTTCAATGGCGGAAAATCAACTAGTGTACAGATTCCTGAGCCTACTGGGCTCTATCATATCTACATTTGAAACTGTCATGTTCCCATACAGCGTATACTCCCATACTTCCATACTGTGTGTGTGTGGAGGGGGGAGGTAAATCACGAAGAAATTAAATCGTTATGAATAATGTGGCTATGTCTGACCACGAAGGACAAAATGAGACAGTTAATTCCTTTAAGTACTTTCGTATTAATCAATACATCTTCAGAAGGATGGATATTACAAGTCAGTGGAGGATATACAGGCAGGAAGGAGGTGAGGAACAATGTCTTTGGTTCACCCTTCTCCCGCGTATATATCCTCCACTGAATAGTAATATTCGTCATTCTGGAGATGTATTGATTAATAAGAAAGTAATTAAGGATTTTCCTGTCTCATGTTTTCCTTTGCGGTCAGACATTGTCATATATAAATATTAGATATATACACAAGACAACTTACCACGTTCAGAAGGACATTGTCTCCTTTATCAAGGGGATGGGCGTAGAGGGGTGAGTGGTGATGGGCGTAGTTTTCCCACGACCCATGCAGATCATAGCCCATCAGGTGCACCAGGTCCAGGTTCCTGATAGCAGAGAAAAAGAAGAAGAGGTATTGTAATTCTCTGCAGTGATTTAATACCCAACTGTCCTCACACTTAATGCCTCGTAATTTTGATGCAGTAGACAAAAACTTCCAAATTCCTGTTTTAATGAAATTAAAGTATTGCAATATTAACGCTGCATCGCTCTTGATAGTTTAAGTGTAGTGCTCGTGCTCGTAGCCTTCAAGTTATGATAAACACTAAACTTTTTGATTGGTGTCAAGTGGTGAGTCAGTATGGGAACATGACAATGGGGGAGGGGGCCGATGGGGGAGCTGGAATCTGACTGGTCTACAAATTATAGACTGACTGGTCTATAATTTGATTTGTAATTTAGAGGATGAATGTACATGAACAAGGTGGAGGAGGGCAAGGGAGACACTTGAGACAGACACAAACAAATACCCAGACTGTAGATCAGCTTCATCACACGACTATGAGGTATTCCATGAGGTCTCTTCCCACCTGAAGTGCGAAGCCACACCATGCAACCTCTGAAGAATCAATTGACACAACACTTGTACCTCCTATTAGACTGTTTTACGGAATCTTCTTTTCGACGGCTCATAAAACGAATGAAAGTGTCCTGAAAGATATTATTGAAAAGAACGTTATCCATACAGACAAAATCAGAAGATACAATTACCAATTTACTACAAAGAAAACGGTCAACCTATTTATGAAGACCTGTCCAGACACCAAACAGAACGCCTTGAAAGAAACCAACGTCGTCTATGCCTTCACATGCCCACTTGGGGACTGCCAGTCACAAAGATCTCAGTATATAGGCAACACAACAACGTCTCTCTCTCTCTCTCTCTAGGCGATTAACAATGCACAAGCAACAGGGCTCCATCAAGAAGCATATAATTTCCTTACACGACCAGACCATCACCAGAGAAATCTTAACAAGCAACACAAAAACTATTAACAGATACAAAGACAATAGGAGACTCGACATCAGCGAGGCCCTACAAAATTAAAAAGTCAAAACCAGCAATCAACAACCATTCTACCCTCTTCAAGCCCTCGAACCAACACAGAAACCACTGAAGCAAGAACATAGAACACGCAGTCCCGTTAATACCCATATGCCATTCATCTACATATTCATCTCAAATTATGTCCAGTATCACCTCACCGCAAGCAAATATAAGCCTTGAAATATATAAATATTAATATAAGCAAGCAAATATAAGTTTTTGTCGATCAGTTACACTGATCGACAAAAACAAAAAAACAGACAAAAATCAGAGGATACAACTGACGATTTACTATAAAACCAGAAAAACGGCCAGCCTACTCATGAGAAACTCTCCAGACACAAAGCAGAACGCTTTAAAAGAGACCATCGTCGTCTATGCCTTCAAATGCCCTCTTGGGGACTGTAAGCTCCAAAAAAAACAGTATATAGGCAAGACAACAACATCTCTTTCTAGGCGTTTAACGATGCATAAGCAACAGGGCTCCATTAAGGAACATATAATCTTTTCCCACAACCAAACCATCGCCAGAGAAATCCTAGTAAACAACACAGAAATCATCGATAGATACAGCAATAGCAGGCGGCTTGACGTTTGCGAGGCACTACACATTAAAAAGTCAACACCAGCAATCATCAGCCAATTAATGCACAACTATATTCTACCCACCTTAAGACTCCGCTCCAGTATAGAAGCATCAAGAGATATGGACCAATAGGCTTTCTACAATCACTTCCGTTCAATACCCATTGTTTCGTGTTCTGTCTTGTGTTGATGAAATTAATACCCTATTAATGCCACCTCACCCCATCCACCTCACTCAAATGTAGATATAAACAAATCGGAGATGTGTATGTTCTATTCAGTTGTGTATGTGTAAACTAAAGTCTTTGAAAATGTAATAAGTTTTACGAAACGCGCTCAAGTGTCGCGTCAGACTAGAAATAAAAATGAATTTTGGAGAATTGATTTTTGAATTACCACCAACAGTGAAAAGAAATGTACGAAAGAGAGAGAAAATTCGTGTTAGAATTACTAATCTTACTTTTTCGGTCATATTTAATTATATATATATATATATATATATATATATATATATATATATATATATGTCGTACCTAGTAGCCAGAACGCACTTCTCGGCCTACTATGCAAGGCCCGATTTGCCTAATAAGCCAAGTTTTCCTGAATTAATATATTTTCTCTAATTTTTTTCTTATGAAATGATAAAGCTACCCATTTCATATGTATGAGGTCAATTTTTTTTAATTGGAATTAAAATTAACGTAGATATATGACCGAACCTAACCAACCCTACCTAACCTAACCTAACCTATCTTTATGGGTTAGGTTAGGTTAGGTAGCCGAAAAAGTTAGGTTAGGTTAGGTAGGTTAGGTAGTCGAAAAAACAATTAATTCATGAAAACTTGGTTTATTAAGCAAAGCGGGCCTTGCATAGTAGGCAGAGAAGTGCGTTCTGGCTACTAGGTACGACATATATATATATATATATATATATATATATATATATATATATATATATATATATATATATATATATATATATGTCGTACCTAGTAGCCAGAACGCACTTCTCTGCCTATTATGCAAGGCCCGATTTGACTAATAGGCCTAGTGATTTTCTTTATTTTCAATAAATTGTTTCTAATTCGTTTATTGGAATTAGAAAACTAATTATTCCTTATCTACACCAAGGAAACAAACATAGGAATGTGCCTCAATGCCAATAGTGACTGCCCAGACAGATACAAGAGGAGTGTTGTCAACGCTTACATCGACTGTGCTCTCAGCCACAGCTCAGGATGGAAGCAAGTCGGTGAAGAACTCTGTAGGGTAAGGCAGGTCTTAGTCAACAACGGCTTCTTCTCTGCCTATTATGCAAGATTTGACTAATAGGCCAAAGGTTTCAGGTCTTAGTCAACACGGCTTCTCCAAAGGTTTCGTTGAAGACATCATAAAAAGAAAGGTGAAATGCCATGCAACCTCTGAAGAGACAACTAACACAACACCTGTACCCACTATTAGACTATTTTACAGGAACTTCTTTTCAACAGCTCATAAAATGGAGGAAAGGGTCCTGAAAGATATTGTTAATAGGAACGTTATCCCTACAGACAAAAATCAGAAGATACAATTGACGGTTTACTATTAAACCAAAAAAACGGCCAACCTACTCATGAAAAACTCTCCAGACACAAAGCAGAACGCCTTAAAGGAGACCAACGTCGTCTATGCCACCAAATGCCCACTTGGGGACTGTTAGCCCCAAAGAACTCATTATATAGGCACGACAACAACATCTCTTTCCAGGCGATTAACAATGCATAAGCAACAGGGCTCCATTAAGGAACATATAATCTCTTCCCACAACCAGACCAATACCAGAGAAGTCTTAACAAACAACACAGAAATCATCGATAGATACAGCGATAGCAGACGGCTCGACAACTGCGAGGCACTACACATCAAAAAGTCCACACAAGCAATCAACAGCCAATTAATGCACAACTATATTCTACCCACTTTAAGACTCCGTACCAATATAGAAGCATCAATAGGAAGTATGGGCCAATAGGCCCTTTGGAGTTACTTCCATTCTTATGCTCTCATATCCAATTAATTCCCCATTGTTCAGTGTTCTGTCTTGTGTTTGTCACAAGTTTGTTCATCTCATCCAAAACTGTTGTACCATATCACCTCACCCAAATGCGAGTATAAATATGGAAGCTGTGGCGTGTTTGCAGGTTACAGTTGTGTGTGTAAACTAATGTCTTTTGAAATGTAATAGGTAATTACGAAACGCGTTCAGGCGTCGCGTCAGACTCGAAATAAAAATGAATTTTGGAGAATTGATTTTTCATTTACCATCGACAGTAAAAAGAAACGTAAGAAATATTGAGAAAATTCGTGTTAGAATTATTAATCTTACTATTTCGGTCACATTAACAACATATATTTATATATAAATATATGAGCACTCAATACTTCCAAGAGTCTTTGCTAAGGCAATTTGTGGAGCAATATGTATATATATATTATTTCAGTTGTGTATTTGGGTGACTTATAAAAGTGAAGTGGAAGGAAGCAGATGATTGAATAATAAGCTGTCACCTGGCCAAAGCTGCCACATCATAGGCGGCGTCGATGGTGACCTTGCCAGCTGACACAGCTGAGGTCATCAGCAGCCCAAGCTTGGAGAACTCTCGCCTCATCTCCTTCAGGAGGAGAGCAAAGTTGGCCTGGAAAATATAGAAAAATGTCAACACAAAAAGTATATGAATTATTTTATAGTTTAGGCTTCAGTACACTCCCTTTTTAAGGATATATTTTAGTAACACATAAAGGTATTCATATACCAACACATGTACACTAACACACACACACACTCATACATATACACACACACACACACAAACACATTGTGTGTGCTGAGCTTGTGTGAGCTCAACCCACATTACTGAGCTATTGTGGGTGCCTCACAGCTGAGTGAACAGCGCTCGGAAGTCGTGGTCCCGAGGGCCCCCGTTCGATTATCAGCCAAGGCGGAAACAAATGGGCAGTTTCTTTCACCCTCATGTCCTGTTCACCTAGCAGTAAATAGGTACCTGGGAGGTGAGCCAGACAGCTGCTATGGGCTGCTTCCTAGGGATGTGTGTATGTGTGTTAGAGAGAAATATATGTAGCAGATATAATGGGGAAAACATAGATTGGTTAGAAAGATGGGATCCAAGAGCTGATAGATTGATTCTGCAAACACAAATAGTAAATACAATTATTAAATACACACACACCACACACACACAAAAGTTTGTGTGTGAAACAAATGACGGAGGTGTTTAGAAATGCCAGGAAATTACAGAGTGATGAGGATGGCAAACTTTGATCAATAAGACAAGACCTCTCAAAGGAAGGTAGAGAAAAGATGAACACTAACCACGATGAAGCGAAACGTCTAAATGGGAATAGAAATGAAGAAAAAATCAATTATTTTTCTGCAATGTGTTAGGGACTGGAAACTAGTGAAATGGTACATAAAAACAAAGCAACAAAATTATTATAGGAAAGGGGAGTAAAGGACAAAATGAAAGAGAACATGTACCTGAAAGTTGTATGTACCAACATGGATGAAGTGAGATAAAAAAATACTGGAGCTAAAAGATATAATTCAGCTTAAGTTCCCAGATATTGTCGCACTAACAAAGGCGAAACTTGTAGAACATATTTTAAATGAGGTCATATTCCCAAGGGGCTACTCAGTTTGGAGACATGACAGGAAAACTAGGAAGGGGAAAAGAGTGGCTGTGCTGGTGAAAGAACACCTGAAGGTAAGAGAGTTATACTTGAAAACCCTGAGAAGTATTATCATTATGCAGATTCCAGATCTGCATAATGGTATTGCAGATCTGGAATCAGGATGATAAACTGATAATCGTAAATGCCTACAGCCCACCAGCAAGCAACATATGGACAAAGGAAGAACTGGATGACAAACGGGAGAGTTTCATAATGGTCATGAGAGATTGTTGTAAGGGCAGATAGAGATAAGTCATGATTGTTGGTACTGCGGGACTTCAACTTTAAAGACTGGTAGGCCTACGAAGCAAAAATAGAGGACATTAGGACAGGCAGATTTATAAGCCTCATTCAGGAGATATTCATATATCAACAAGCAGGCCACTAGATTGGTGGAAGGGGATGTACCATCAGTACTGGATCTAATATTCATCAGGAAAGAAGATGAGATATTTGACGTCCACTACCTTCCTCCCTTGGGAAAAAGTTATCATGTCCTGTTGGACATTTAATATGTTTTGTGATATAATCTAGAAGAGAATGTGGACATTGAAACAGTTGATAAACTAGATTTGAAGAGCGAGCATTATGGGAAACTTAGAAACTTTTTTAATGAGTTTAATTGGACAGACTTGTTGCTAGGCAAGGAAGTAAATGAGATGTATGACAAATTTTGTCATGTGAATGTGCAGGCTTCCGAATGGTCACTAAAACTGTTCATCCAGAGGAAGCTTCTTTGGGATATTTTAGCAGAAATCTGCTCACAACTATACAACTGATGTCCTGATGAGATTTTTGAGTGGATTGAGAATAACTGTCAACCTCCTCTTATCTTGAGGTTATCTTGAGATGATTTCGGGGCTTTTTAGTGTCCCCGTGGCCCGGTCCTCAACCAGGCCTCCACCCCCAGGAAGCAGCCCGTGACAGCTGACTAACACCCAGGTACCTATTTTACTGCTAGGTAACAGGGGCATAGGGTGAAAGAAACTCTGCCCATTGTTTCTCGCCAGTGCCTGGGATCGAACCCAGGACCACAGGATCACAAGTCCCGCATGCTGTCCGCTCGGCCGACCGGCTCCCTTCTGGCTGAAAGCTCATGACAGAATAAAATCTGACACTAACAGGTCACCCACTGATAGATCAATGAGACCACAGAGTGCAACAAATAAAACTAATAAGTCCAAACCATCTACATCCACTCCAAGGTGGAAAAACAGCAGCGTAGGTACGTACACAGTGAGTCCCTCCAAACCTACAGTCACTATGTCACCTAAGACAGTTATGACTAAAACTACTGTAGGATGGAGAGACTGCTCTGTCAAAAGGAACATTCGTTATACCACTGCCAAAATTACCCTGATCGTACTTTCAGAATAAAGAGTCTTAAAGAGTTTCATAAATGCACCAGACGCTTAAAACCACATGACACCAGTACCTGTGCAACCCAACTACACACTTGCAACAGGTGCCATAAGGGTTAACATCATACAGTACTGTGTGGGGGCACTAGACCAAGGTCACCCAAACCACCCAGGTGGAAGAAGAAACTTCTGCCATAGTACAGTGCTGTAAAGTACGACAGGATTTAAATGTACTAACTACAAAGTCAGACAATAACGCAACTTTACCCACTGCTCAATTACACATTAAAAATGAAAGATCCAAGATCACCACCCATGGTTTATTTGATTAAGGATGTCAAAAGACGTTTGTCACAAAGAAGGTGGCAGATACCTTAAAACTTAAACTAATACGGAGAGTAAAGTTGAACATCTCAGGGTTCCTGACCAGCATGGGACTCCAGGGCTATGAAGTTGTACGACCACTGGTATGCCTTGGCAGTTATGCCCGACCAGTACAGGCTATAGTGGTAGATAAAATCCCATCTGACCTATATGTTCATGGTCTAGGGAACACAGCCAAACTCCTTCAAAGTAAAGGAATTAAATTGACTGACAATGCAATTGCGTCTGACCACCTCACTGATATCGGTAAACTTTTCGGTGCGAACTATTATTATAAGTTCATCACTGGAAGTACTAATCAACAGAGAATGGACCTGCTAACGTCTGCAGGAGGCAATTTCTTCATGGGCCCTGTATTGAGTCAAGGGCAGCCCACACCTGTGGACAGCAAACAAGTCAACCCAGTGATGGTTGCATGACTAGGCGCAGAGCAGTCACCACTTAAATTCAGAGATATGTCCGAGGCTGAGCTTAATCTCCCTCCTGTACACAAAATATGGGATCTAGTAACCTTAAGCATTGTCCCTGAACAACCCAGTCCAGATGATACATGGACGTATAAACAATACCTAAACTCAATCATTTACAAAGAAAATCAATGCTTGGTCAGGCAACCATGGAAGTTGAACTACCAGCAACTTCCAGTGAACTACTTCATGGCACTAAACCAATTAAAATCCCAGTTGTTGTGCTTAAATAGACAACCTGATAACCTAAAATTGTATCATGAAACAATCCAACAACAACTTGATAACAAATTCATCAAAGTTGTAACAAATGATAACCCTAAGGAGGGACACTATTTACCACAACATGCCATACTAAAAGATTCAGATACATCTATTAGGATCGTATTTAACCATAATGATAAAGCTAAACAAAACAGTGTCTCGTTTATTGATTGCCTTCAGGCAGGACTCAGCCTAACACAGAGACTATACAATGTGCTGTTTGGGTTTCGTATAGGGACTTACACATACACGACCGACATAAGCAAGACATTCCTTAAAGAAAATCTCCAAGAAGAAGACCGACATTGCACAAAGTTCCTCTAGATCAAGGATCCTAATGATCCACACAGTGAAGTAATCACATACCGGTTTGCATCAGTTTTGTTTGGTGCTACTTCATCACCATTTCTGCTTCAAGCAACTTTAGATACACATTTGAAGAAGTCTAGTAGCCCAAATAAAACTGAAATCATCAATAACCTGTATCTAGATAATTTCCAGGGAACAACCAGCAGTGAAGAAAATCTGCTAACCATATATCATGAGGCTAATCGAGAATTCTTGGGGGCAAATATGCTTCTCCAGTTAAGGGCAATCAATAATCAGAAATTAAATTAACTAATTGAAGCCGAATACCCCAACAACAAGGTACCTCAGAAGTTAAAGGTAATAGGTGTCGAATGAGATACACAATCGGATGAGTTAACTATTAATTCGGTGGAACTAAATACCACAACTTAACTATGAGAAAACTGTTATCACAAGTCAGTAAACCTTTCGGTCCTTAGAGAGTGGTAAGCTCAATATTAATAAAGGGTAAATTACTTATGCAGGAAAACGGGCAAAAAAAAATAGGTTGGGATGATCCACTATCAAATACCTTACAAGAAAATTGGCAACAGTTAACAACAGATCTAAGAATCCGAAACAATCTTACATTCCCTCATAATACAGAAAAAACCTGATCAACCTGTAATGCTGCATGTGTTTTGTGATGCCTCAGGAAAGGCGTATGGCACTGTAGCCGATTTAGTAACAAATAAGCAGGCAAAACTGCTCAAATCCAAAGCTAGAGTGGCACCATTAAGGAAACAGTCATTGCCCCAGTTAGAATTAACCACCTTACTGATAGGATTTAGATTGGCTCATTACCAGACGAAACCCTTGAATAACCTCTACTTTACAGAAACAGTGGTATGGTCAGAAAATGGTGCAGTCTTACAGTGGGTGAAAAATTAATAGTTTATAGATGAACAGAATAGTTTCTATTGAACAGAATCTGGATGAACAGAATAGTTTCTGTTCATCCAGACCACCAGGGATAACTTGAGCATATTTAAAGCTACGTTCCAAGGCAAAACCACTCTTTAAACTTTAAAGAAACTAGTTCCACTGGAGTTGGCATGAAACGAAGTCACTCTAAGACCAAACACACCTGCATCTCCAGAAACGAATTTCTGTCCAGAAAGA